TGCTTAGTCAAAGTTGTTAACTGTGCAGTAGTTAGGATTGTAATGTAAAATTCTTATTTCTCAAAAATTGTCTTTCAGCCAATGTTGGTGAAAGAGGCCAGGTTTTCTTATACCACACTAGCTATTATTATATTTTATATGAAATTTTTTTGAGAAAGTTTCCTGGCTTATATTGTAAATTGAGGAGACTTGGAAATCTTAACAAATGTTTTTCACTTTTATAGAATTTTTGAGGGTTAGAAATATATGTGGGTTAGAAACGATTTTATCCTGTAAAAGTAGTTGAGGATTTTTCAGCAGCTGACTCAGTGTCTGCATTTGTAATGCCATAGGAGTGAACGATCAAGGTAGTGTGGGCTTCATGATTAGGTGTCCTCACTGTATCATTAGAAATGAAATGAGAAGAAAGTTTTCTTGATTTCTCAGCATTGGTCCATCAGACAGCTGGTGGAATCCATTACCTTTGTGAGTCTTGGCAATGGCAAAGACCTAATTGAAAGTCAGAGCTCTTTCTGAGAAAACTCAGGTCAGGTACAATAAAGTTATAGAACAGAGGTTGACAAACTATAGCCCCCAAACTGCTTATTTTTTTTTTAATGCCTTGCAAACTAATGTTTTTTCTTAATATTGATTAAGAAAATTCAAAAGAAGGATAATATTTTTGCGGTATGTGAAAATGATAAGAAATTTGTTTTCAGAGTCTATAATTTTATTCTATCACAGGTAAGCTCATTCATTTATGTATGTTTATGGCTACTTTTGTAATAGCAGAGTTGAGTAGTATGATAGAGACTGGATGGTGCCGCAAAATCTAAAATGTTTGCTATTTGGGATCTTTGTAGAAAGAGTTCAACAACCCCTGCTATAAAACAGCAAGAATGATTTATGTCTTGGAGTCCCATGGAAATTTGTGGCCTTATTTGCTTACCTAGAATGCTAGCTGAATACCACCATCTTTTTGAAGAATTTCTCCACTGTTTTTGTCTCTGGAGCAACCTCCAGTGTCCATTAATGACTGTTTTCATGACTTTCTTTGCTTATTTTCCAATGGTTCTTTTAGCCAGCCATGTGAATACACCAAAACCACACAGGAAAGCTAAAGAAGCTTTTCTATAGCGGAATGTGTCTGACATGGGCATCTCCTGTTTATGCAGAAACCTGGATTTTGATTCTGATTTCAAATGTATGTAAAATGACTTTCACTCTCAGAGAGTGAACTGAATAAGCATATTTATTGCTTGACTCAGATATGTAGGGAGAACATTTTAATCTTTCATATTTTAACAGGCATTTTAGCAACTTTAGCCATGTTTGTCATGACTTATAATTTTGCATTAATAATTTTTTCTTTAAACTTATATACTTAAAATAATGTCTTTTTTTAAAAAAACAATCCTCTTCTAATAGAGTAAAGACATTAATGGTTGAGATATTATACTGTACCTCTTATAAAAGTGATTTTTCCCTCCTTCCAGTTGTGGTTCTTTAGCATCAGTTCCTTTGAGGCCCATGTAAGAGAGCATCCCTGTCACTGAATAAAAGGTCTGCACTTGGGCTGGTTGTTGTGTATACCTGTAATCCTAGTTACTCAGGAGGTAGAGATAGGAGGATCACAGTTTGAGGCCAACCGTGGCAAAAGTTAGCAAGACCCTATCTGAAAAAGCAATCCACATGTTGTCCATGCTTTTAATCTAGCTCTTCAGGAGGCAGAGGTAGGAGGTTGAGGTCTGAGGCCAACCTGTGCAAAAGTGTGAGACCCTATCTGAAAAACGAACTAAAAGCAAAAGTACTGGGGGCATGGCTCAAGTGGTAGTGTGCTTATCTAACAAGTTTGAAGTCCTGGGACTTGAATCCCTGTAATGCCAATGCCAGCAATAGCAACAATAAAACCAAGAGGTCTATATTTTGCAGCCATTGCAAGCCTTGGATTCTTGGATTCTGCCACTGTCTTTTGGAGCTACTGTCAAGTTTCACCCATGCCTTTGGTCCTAATTATGCTTTTGTGCCTGCTGACGATGATTCTTAACTTTGCCTTTGCCCCGTGCCATAGGGAAAATATAGCACCCAGGTCATGGCATTGAGGTGAACTGTTGGTTTCACTCTTCATTTCATAGGCTATTTTGTCATCTGGTTCTTACTTGTTATTTATCTGCCATAATCTAAAAGTTTTGCAGTATCTTTTTCTTAATAGAAGTGTATTGAATAGATGCATATAATGGAGCTCACCAAACACTGAAAGAGGGGGGAAGAGGGAGAGAGGGAATGGGAATATATAGTGGAGGGGGTGAACTTGTTCAAGGTACACTGTACACATGTATGCAGTTATCAAGGTGAAATCTCCTATTGTCTGAAAAATCAAAAATTTAAAAAAGCTTTGAAGATATGGAGGGTAGAGCTCACTAATCAGAGGAGTTGGGCTATACTTGATCTTAGCCACAAGACTGAGAAGCAGTAGGAGTTGGGCTAAATGTAGGGATCGTCTTCATCTGGAGAATGCTTTTTGCTCTGTGTTCTCACATTTTGGATGACCTTGAGCTCAGTAAGCAGTGAAGAACATAAGGAAATGCTGAACCACTTAGGCTGCAGTGGGTGGAAGGAAGCTTGGGAGAGTGGCAAGGTGAACTACCTTAGGTGAAGTCTATTCTAGACACAGCAATAAGGGGAAGTTGGATGAGGCATAACCTTACAGCATTTTGACTTAGTGCTGACATGTTGTGGGATGGTAAGAATTGAGACTGGAGGGAAAACCCCATATTATCATTTCTGAAATGTGGGAAAACCTTTAATAACAAAGCAAGTTACTATATGGTTTGGAAGTATACATTATTAAGGTAAAATTATGGTTTTTCAGATTTAAGAAGGAAGAATGAAGTGGGGGCTATGCTCTGGTAGGTAAAGAGCCATGGACTCACATGAACACGGCAGAAACTACTCCAGGTAGGAAAACCATGGAAGGGAAAGAGAGGAGGGTTCCATTTCAGTCTCTGAACTGTCACTGTGGACAACAAAGCACCCCTGTCCAGCTGTCTCAATCCTGGAGGAGGAGTCTCCATTAGAAGAAGGTTTATTGCTGGCATCCAGGCTTCATGGTCCTAAGAACTGTGAGCCCTGCAGTAGTCACGGTCTCCAACAATTAATTCTGAGTGTGTATTTGTCCACTTACCCCTAAGCTTACTGTCTAGAAAGGAAATGTACCTGTGAAAAGGGGGAGGCTTGCTATGAACCTCAGCATTCAGTGTAAATGCTCTGGATGAGGACAATACACCTATGCCTTGGTTTCCCACCCTTGAAGGCTATTCCCAAAGCCCTAGCTGAAAGCAGGACAGAGGAAGGGGTGGTGTGGGCTGTATGAGGAGGAGCCTTATTAATGTGGAGTTACTTGAGTTTTCTTATCCAGCTATACTAGGTGTGAAGTAGCTCATTAAAGTTGGATTAAATTTAGGATTGTCCAATTCAACCTCCTCATTTTCCCAGAGTGGGAAAAGACACAAGACTTATCTCAGACCAGAGAGGTAATGATCGACAGTGTTGCCAGCTAGACTCAGTAATGGTGCTTCTTCCAGTCTGGATCATGAGGGGTTAAGTTGTATTAGGAATATAGGATCTGGTTCAGGGGTTCAGTGTGCAGTTATTATGACTTACCACTGGTAAATTGCAGTTAGGACAGTGGTCCTTGGTCCATAGCCTAGAATAGGTGACCTGAGAAGAACCTTTGACTTAGGTAAATTGTTATGCATTTTGGGGAGGACTTTGATGGGATTGTTTTGGGATGAGGCATCCAGGCACACTAGCAAGTCTTACTTGTTTAGAGTGACATGGAAATAGAGAATTGTTGTGGAGGTGGAGTAGTTGAAGGCTATTCTGGGTGAGCTTTGAAGATATATGCAAATGGACCTTCTCTAAGTCTTTTGGTGTCCAGCACTATCTGTTGTGACATTTGGAAAACTGCAAAGTAGAGAGGGACTTAGTGGTTTCCAGGTGTGCAGTAGGGGCTGAAGATCCTTTATGATTGTAACTTTCTGCACTTGAGGATTTATTTCTGCTTAACTGCCTAATGCAACTCATTTTAACCTCTCACATTGACTTTAAACATCCTTTTCATTTTTGCTTCTCTGCTTAATTTTTCAATATGTTAGAATTGAAATTAACATATACATTTTTATAAATTCTTAACTGAAATATTTGCCAAATAAAGGGCTGATATTACTGGGAAGAGTGAACCTAGTTCTTCTAAACAATTTTTCTTTCCACTTATTGATCACCTACTCTACAGAGGTAGTGTTGTATCATGGTTAAGCACTAGAACTTTACGCTGGGCTACTTGGTTGAATCCTAGGTCTGCTTTGTGCAGCCTTTGCAAGTTAAGTTTTCTGTATTCCATGCTTCAATTTCCTCAGATGTAAAATGGACATAATACTTTATAGGGTTGTTTTAAGTGTTAATTAAGTTAATACACAAATTAGAACAGTGCCTGGTACCCACAAAGGCATTTATGTACTAGCTGTTCCTATGTTCTAGATTGATTGAGGCCCTTTGTCAATTTGTGATCCTACTGACACTTAGAAAAATTTTAAAACTTGCTTAACATACAGTTAATAAGTGGCTAGAATGAGTCCCACATCTCCTCTGTCTGACTTGAAGCCTGGCTCTTATGCTGTTGGATCTGAAGAAGGGCAAGTCACTTACTGTAAAGTAGGTTAAGCATTTATGTGTTTCCACCTATCTTTCTAATTAGATTTTTTTTCATTATGTTTTTCTTCTATTAGTAAAATGTTTCTCTGACTTAAGTAGAATGAGCAACTATAAAGGAATAAAATAAAGCCTCTTTTAAAATAGTGCTACTCACATAGTTAGATAAGAACTTTAAAATCCATGCCAATAATACTACATTGTGAAAGACATAAGATGTTATTTCATGTTATATCTGATAATGGCAATCAGTGTTTTCACACTTTTAAGCTTTGTGAAAATTAAGGAGTTACTAGGTTTTGTTCAGCTCACTGTTCTAAAACAACTATGACATTAATGTTTTTAATAATTTTCATAACCTAATTAACAAGAATAAACTACATAAAATTTGTATAGTTCATGGAAAGCTTCCTAATCTGTATCCTAGACTAAGGTATGGAGAAAAGTGAGATGGGCCTCCGTAGGACAGTGACAGGTAAAGTAGATAAGAATAACAGTTTTTGACTTTTAGCAGAACGGTGGGGTAATGTCCTCTGCTTATAGTTATGAAGCATTGACCAGATGATGACTGATTTAAATGGCTATTTTTCATGTATTTTATAAAATTATTTGGAAGATCTGTTAATTGATAATATTGATGTCAGAATTTGTAGATTTCTATACTATATACTTTTGATATTGTATGAAAGTTAGAAATGATATTTTATAGCATTGTCAACTTTATAATTAACCTGTGGGTAACTATTCAGTGGAAAGAAAAGCAATAAAATTAAAGTAAATAAAACACACCACTACTACAACAAAACCAATCCAAATAACCCATACTGTATCTTCTTCAAGGAATATGCAATTTTGAGAGTGATTTTATAACTCTAAATTGGAAATTGATCAAACATTTAAGTTGTTTGAGGGAAAAAAAAAAGGAAAATTGAGAAATTAAAAAAATTATTTGCATTTGTCTTTGTTTATTTTGGCAAGGTAAAGAAATTTATCATTGTTAAAGTTTATTTCAAGTTTTAGCTGGGATAGATGCAAGATTAAAACAATTGGCAATGAAGGAAAACATGGTGCAGAGTATTTGGCAATGTGACATTAAAGATTAGATTAGACAGTCTGTCTCAATAATGACCATATGTCCTTCCCAGCTGATATCTATTTCAGGACTTGATAAATGAGTCAGAGGTCCTAGGACTTTGGTATGTGTTAAAGGATTGTTCTTTCATCACCTTTGTTAGCTTTATTAGGTGTGTTAGAGAGTGTGTTACAATGAGTCAAATGTGCATGGCATACTTTGAAATGAATGAACATAATGACAAAATTCTGACACTGACTCCTTTCAGGTCATGTGGCTTTGTAACACTAGGAACTAGGATGAACGATCCTGTATTCATTTCATTCACAGAAATAAGATAATTGACTTTTTTTCCCCTAGCTGAGCCTAATAGTACAGGAGTGAAATAGGAACAAATGGGAGAGACTTCTAGAAGGGTGACGTTAAAGGAACAGTCAGAGGAGGGGAGAGTCGTGGCAGTTGCTTGCAGGGTGGAGATAAGCAGAAGTGTGCTTGTGCTTACTGTCACAATGTCACATGGCAGGAGGCTTCCCCAGGGCAGTTGCCTGTCCGGGGAGCTGTTTCGTTTTGTGGTTAATAGAGTTGTACTTTGGGAAATAACCCGGTTTCCTGCTTACTGCCTCATTATGGATTACACAGGTAAAATTAAATTTAAAATATATTCTGGCTGTATAAAATTACTTATAATACTTGAATTTATGTTTTAAATGATGTTGTTTGTGGGTACTTTAGAAATACATCAATTTATTCCTTACTGTGTATGAATTTGCCATATATGAATTGTGATTAGTTTAGGATGAGACAAGAGAATTTCTCAGACATACCCTTTTGTTTCTTCTATTGCAGTTTGGGTCACACTCAGACAGACTTAAACTGCAACCCAAAATCAATCTACATGTATTCTCTTTGGGCCAAAAGGTTTAAAGTACAAACATGTGAGTTCAGGTTATGCCACACAGAGAATCAAATATTCACAGACTAAATTTTATTTCAGAGTCTTGAAACAAAAGTTCTGTGTTGCTAATCTTATGCGGAAAGGAAAATAAATATATGCACACACAAGGATATAAGTATATTTGTTTTAGAGAAGCCCTTACATGGGATATTACAGATTTATTGAACAAGTCTATTTGAGACAACTAACTTCATTTATGCTTTAGAAGGTCACTCTGTGCGATAATATGTTGAAGTAAGGAAGAACACACTTGGCTAGGCCAGTGCAGAGCAATCAGTTTTGTAAAGTTCTGTCAGACAGCCTTGCTATGAGTATGCTTTCAATTATCAATTTGTAACTTTTCCCTTCAAATAACAGAATTAATTTTGATTAATTTTCTCATTTTTCTGTTGTATATTGCCATGAAAATACTTCTCTTTTATTTTAAAGTAATACTTTGTATATGTATAACTGGTATTTTAAGATACACAACTTCAACAATTTCAACAAATAGCTATCAACAGGAGTACTAAGAAAACAAAAACATTAATGAAAACAAAGAAGGTAGAAAGTCACAGTTCTGATGCTTTCAGTTTGTCGTGTGTGCTATAAAGAGAAGACTGAAATAGAGTTTCCTTTAAAAGTATCTGTGAATTACTTTAAAATTTTCACTGTTATCTTTATCAACAGCTTTCTAATTTTATGGTAATTATTTTGATCACTAAGTTATTTTGAGTATTAATTTTTTTCTTTCATTGCTAATATTATCCTGAAATTAATAGTACTCTTTATGAATGAAATGGCCAGGTAAGGCTAATCAGAGAATGAATCTAAAGATCCCTTTGGTTTGGAAGGTATTCTGTGATTATTTTGGAGGGGGGTGTTGAGGGACCTCAGATCAGCTTTATTCTTCCTTCATATTCCTACATTACATTTTCCTTAGGCGGCACATTAACATTTGTGTTCATTCTCTGAGCTGGCTACAGAAGACAATTGGAGCTAACTAAACTTGGGGAATCATTTTTGTCAATGCTGGTTTTCAGCGGCCTGGATCCAAACCTCCCAAAGTGCTGAGACCTCAGGTTAGAGAAGGCTTCTTAGGTGTGTGATTTGTCCAGTGTTTTTGACATGTCAGGTACCTAATGTTTTTTAGCATACTCATTCTGATGTAGTTGTCTAAAAAGTAGACTGCTTGAAAAATATTGCAGCTTTTAGCGTACCTTTAGAAGTCTGTGTCAGAAAAAAGGCCCTCAGAAAAATGTTTTCATGTACATATACACACCTTCACATATGAACTGAGAAAAAGAGCAACCTCAGTGAGTTGGTAAAGCAGTCGTTATATACAGCTCATGGCCTCCATAGGAAAATATCTCTTATTGAGGATTGGACACAGGGCCCCATGCATGCTAGGCAAGTACTCTGTCTCCTGAACCATACCCCCAGCCCTTTTGTTTTTAATTTGTTTCTGAGATAAACTCTTTCTAACTTTGCTTGGGCTGACCTTGAACTCAAGATCCTCCTGCCTCAGCCTTCTGAATAACCGGAATTATAGGTATGAGCTACCATGCCCAGCTAAGGGACCATTTTCTCATCATGCTTTTTCTTCTGCTTTTCTGTGGTCATATGCATTCATTATTTGAGTGGCTATTCATATACAACATCTTATATGCAATTTGAAATAGATCTTTCCAAGGGAAAAATAAACAAACAAATAGCTTATGTAAGAAAATTTTCTGGGTTTAAGGTTCATCCATTTTTAAGTGTATTGTCTTTTCCTGTACCCTACAGTCATATCTCACTACCATTATTGATATTCCCTTTTGGTTTTTGACCTGACTGATTACTTTTAAAGGGATACATTTTTATTAATTTGCAATGTTATTAATACTACAATTTTGGTAGTCTTTTTTGCCACTTGTAGTTTTCTCTGGTGACTTTTCTTTTTTAGAGCTTTTTTTCCTCATATACTTGTGGCTGGATTGTTTTCCCTTTATTTCAGTAGAGTCTTTAAAATGCTGTATAATTTTGGCAGTTATTTATTTTTCAAGAGGCATTATGGTAGTGTGGTTAAGAACATTGCTTTGGAACCAGATTGCCTGGGTTTTGAAGTCTAGCATGAAGTTTACCACCTATGTGACATTGGCAAATTATTTAACCATCTGTCAACTATAGGAATTACTGGTATCTACTTCATAGAGTTAATGAAGATTAAATGAGCAACATGCAAAGTGTCACAAGAGTGCTCAGCACCTAGTAAGCAGCAAGTGTTAGCTATTTTTCTTTTCTACAACAAAAGATTTGTTCTGTCTTATGTAGCATCATAACACTTTATTCATAATGGTTAAACATTTTTAGTAAGATGAAGGTCAAGCTACTGTGAATAAATTGTGTTAAATACACACAAAGAATTACTGTGCAGTCATTAAAAGGACAAGACAGCCAGGCATGGAGGTACATACCTGTAATCCCAGCACTTGGGAGACTAAGAAAGGAAGATTGAAAGTTCAAGGCCAGCCTGAGCTACCTGGTGTGACTGTCTCAAAAAACTAAAATACAACAACAAAAAGCCAAGTGAGAGTGGTTTAGGCCTATAATCCTAGTTATTCAGGAGGCTGTGATTGGGAGGATTATGGTTTGTGGTTAGTCCTGGCAAATACTTAATGAAACACCGATCTCTAAAATAACCAGAGCAAAATTGACTGGAGGTGTGGTGCACAGTGGTAGATCACTGGCTATGCAAGTCTGAAGCTCTGAGTTCAAACTCCAGTCCCCCCCCCCGCCACAAAAGGATGATATATATAGATATATAGATATAGATATAGATATAGATATATATATACACACTGATCAAAAAACTATTAATGATATTTTTAGATGGTGGTGTGATGTAATTTGCAGTTCCACATTCATACCATAATTTACAGTTTAAAAACTCTGTTTTAAGACAGGTTTTTGTAAACTAAATCATTGGGTGGAGAGGAGACTTGAAGTCTTGAACATCCTACTCTATATGATTTTTTAATTGAGGAGTTATGGGGTTATACACACACATTTTTTGTGCATTTCAGTTTTTTTTAAACCTTAAATTTTTTTCTTTTCTCCTATTGTATAGGTATCCTAATGAAAGTTAACATAGTTTGTGTGTTTGTGTGAGTGTATTTTCTTTTGGTGGTACTAAGGTTTGAACTCAGGGCCTCTCACTTGCTAGGCAGGCATTCTAACATTTGAGCCATGTCCCCAGTCCTGTTTTACTTTAGTTATATTTTTTTTCGATAGAGTCTGGTGTTTTTTGCCCAAGGCTGGCCTTGGACTATGATCTTTCTGCTTATACTTCCTGAATAGGTAGAATTACAGATGTGGACCAGTACACCCACCTTGTGTGTTGAGATGATGGGGTTTTTCTTACTTTTTGCTTGGCTGTCCTTGAACTGTGATCCTTCCAGTCCCTACCTCCTGAGTAGGTGTGATAGCAAGTGTATACCATCACACCTGGCCCTAGAGTGTGTGTGTTTCTAAGCCAGATTTCTAAAAATAAGGTAATGCAGGAAGACTTTTATTTGTCTGAGTCAAGAGACAAATTGTTAATATCTTCAATTACTTCAGTGTGTGGGTGAATTAAAAAGAAATAATGTTGGTCATAAATGCCCAGTTAGCCACAGGTGCACACAGGTATGTGAATACAGCCTTGAAATGCCTAAGGTACTCTGGAAAATGTTAGGATTTCCCAAAGGGAAAAATGAAGACAAGTAAGGCAAAAGGCATAAGATAGGAAAAATATGTATATATAAAACTTATAGAGTAGTGGTTTTCACCCTGGAATAATACTTGCAGAGTAACTCAGGAGTAAGCTTAACATTAGAGTGCTCTCTGTGTGCCCAGCAGTGTTGTAAGCACACACACTGTTGACTAACACACACGTGTGTGTGTGTAAATTAACAGTACATATACAGCAATACTCATGGTTTCATCTAGGTGTGATTGAGTGAACAACCCTTGATCTGTCAATCTGTCACAAGCTTAGAAAAAACAGTCTCAGACTCTTCAGAAATTACTTTTAAGGGTAGACTATTTTTCTCATTTCTGATATTCTTAATGCTCTGGAAAAGTTGTACTTGCTGAAATAAAACCAAAAATCCTGATTGCCTATCTTTGTGGTTAGTATAAAGCTAGTAGTCAAATTTCTTTTAAGTCTCTTCCTGAGATCACAGGATGAGGAGCTCTCCAGGACAGGGAATGTATATTTGATTTTGGTCTTGTGCATTTTGTGACAAAGGAATTCCCCTCTGAATTGCTGCTCCTCTGCAGCCCCTGGAGCCTATGGCTCAAGCGGCGCAGTCAGACTGTGCAGTGTCCCTGACGTCATCCAGCGTATGCATAAGCCTCGCTATTGTCTCACTGCTACAGCAGGGCTGAGGATTGCAGTATCCGCTGTTGCTGCTGCTCCCGGTCCTGCCCTGCTGCTACCTAGCCCTGTCTCACTGCATCTCAGGAGAGCCCCGTCGGCCTTCCTTTGCCCAGTGGACTTTCAGAAGCAGCTCTCTGATTTTGGGTTCTCTGGGGACCTTGCCTTTCACTCATACAGGAGAAAACTGAAGCTCGTAAGGGGAGAATCTGGCAGCTGGACTCAGCCTGGACTGCATTGTCTGGCTTCATGACCCCTGCTGTGTAGCCAGATCATCGCTTCTCTCACAGGCACTCTTTGCTT